AGTGCAGCGTCGGCAAACGAAAATATAATATTTACATTAGGTAATTGTTAGTCGTTCCGAACCAAAATTAGCAAAACGGAATAACAAGTATTTATCGTAGTGTTATCTTATAAAATGCAAATCATTTTAATTTTGCAGCAAAACTTAACTTCTGAGATTATTAATGTCGCATACATCTTTGCTTAAAACTGTTTTATTTATTATGTTTGTATAAATATACATAGGTTGTCAAAAACAAAGCATGCGCGTTTTAATCTGCAAACATTTTAATTAATGTTGCAATGACCATACTGAAACCATATGGACCATACTTAAAACGTTCGAAATAAGATTTTATTTCCCACCCACGGTGATACAATTCCAATGCAATTGCAATTTATGCAACATTACCGCCCAATTTTCAATAATGTAAAATAAAAATAAAAATAACATAATTTTACAATCCTGGCTGACACAGATTTGTTTTTTATTTTACAAATTTTCGGCTCAGGACCGTTCTCTGTTAATTGGGGGAGACGTATAAATACGTTTACAAGGCTGAAATTTCCACACACCTACCTAGCTACTAATACACCTCAGATAAGTATTGCTTACTGTATTCAATAGGACTGCAAATGAGACAGATTATTGCAGATGAATACACGGGAAAAATAGGTAATACGCGTGTAATACGCAAATATTCCTTACCTGATGCAGATTCATCGGGGTAAATAAATAATGGGTCAAAATTACACTGTTTCCAATTGAATCCATATTTTTCATATTCTATTGTATAATGTGATATTAATCAAATAAAATCAAAATAACAATGCACAAAATTGTAGCTTTGCACGTAACATTAGTCGAAGTGGCGGCCAGCTCTCCCACTATTAGCTCAACAGTAAATAATAATGAAAAATACAATCGATCGATATCATCCGTCTGTTAGCAAGAGCAACATTTTGCTGGTATATGTTATTAGCATTCGCGAACTGCAAATTGGGCAATGGCATTCACACATGCATATTAATATTATTGCGCTCAGCTATCATTTAATTAACGTCATTGTCATCTTTCATCGGAATACCCATTAAATCTTAAAGTGATTTAACAAAACATTTAAAAAGCGTTTAAATAGATAAAAAAAGGTATACCTTTATTATTTTCCTAAATTTATCTTCCTATGTGTATGTATACTCGACTAACTAATGCATTATCTATAATGCATTAGTTGGTCGAGTATATAGTTAGTCGTATATTTATTAATTAATTTAAACACAAACAAAAACTTTTTAATATCACGGAATCACTTTACGTTGGAATGGATTGGCAAATCAATAAAGTAAATTTTAACTGTGCAAAAATTACAGAAAGCTATTAAGTAGTGTTTAATATCCCGATGACTGTGTATTTCCCTCTACATCTCTCCTGAACCATGTAATATAATTGTATTATATGTATATATATTATACAAAAGTAAATACCGATAGAAGGTAATGATCGTCGGTTTCTAAAATCAGTTTCTGTTTGTAACTTTTATAATTGATTAAAACGTTATAAATAATTTATAAACATAGAATGTAGATCCTCACCGAATGAATAGTAAAGTCAATCCCCAAGCAAAAAGTTTTACGTCAAAAGCAGTAAAATCCTACCAATATCAATTAAAGGGTTATAAATTGAATTTGAATTGAAATTGAATTGAATTATCACTGATAAAAGATAAAGCATCTCATTATTGCAGCAACTTGTAAATGTATTAAGCCACATTAAACACCGTGAAGTAAAAATAAGTTAAATGCGATAGAATTCAGGAAAAAAAATACAAATTGTTTAAGGTAAAGTCTATATACGTTCCACTGCTGGGCAAGCCCTTCTCTCTTTTCTGTAAGGGGATTAAATTCATATCGTTGTTATTATTCGCACTCGGTCGTTATGGAGTGGTCGCGTTAATATATACGTTGTCTCGAAACTCATCGATAAGTTAAGACGGGGCGATAAGTTAATTGGCATTAACAGCATTTGTGTAGTAACCAGGGGATTCACGTTGCCTTTTTTGCAACGAAAATAAATGACAGTATAAACAAGACGTCTTACAATGCATTACGACAGGTATATCATCTCTGTAGATTATGATATGATACGTCCATTGCTGGCAGGCAATATGGTATATGCCCCCTGTGTGCTATCATTTGTCGCATTGGAAAAAAAATCATACTGCATGGTTTTATACTGGGACATGACTTTAAAAAAATAGGCCTTGTCTTTTTATTTTTTTTAATACCAGAAATTTACCGTAATGGTACAACGTTGAACTGCTAAGTAATATTAGTAAAAAAAAGAATTACATAATAGTCTAAAAATAAATTATATATAGGTATATATTATAATTAAATAAAACAGGCATTACAAAATAACGAAGGAAGCCTGCGCCATCTTGGATTATTGATTTTAAAAAAATACCGGAACCTACCCGATGTGTGCTTCGTTTATGCATTGAAAATAAATGCCAGAACCACACGTTTGCACAACGTCACAAATCAAACGTGGATGTAGCATTAAGCTTAGCTTGCAATAATTTGCGTTTGTAGAGGTTTGTAGGGAGCTTTTATAGCAATCAACTCGTTGCTTGTGTACGATGCTTTAGGGTACGATTTATTTAATTGGGTTGTTTTTATAAAATACAGATATTGTGATTTAATATGCTCATGTTGAGATATCATACGCCACGAGATAAACGACATATATGAATTTCACGAATTGGTCGGCTGACCGGGGTAGGACCAAGCTCTCACATAATACCAGCGTAAAATAGCAGCTTAATGCTGCTGCGATTCGTATGGTGAGTGTAGAGAGCCGGAGACCCTTTTTACTGGAAACGAGGCATTCGATCTTAGTCCTCAGGGGTAACAACGCATCTGCATTTTCATTCTTAATCGAAGATAAGTGTAGATGTTTATAACTGGAAAGATTTATTTTGGTACAGTGATAAAACTGAATTTACGAAATACGAAAGAAATGCAAGAAAGTTCTCAAAATAGCGTTCACAATACACTTATTACTTATAATATCGCATACAATATCACTGCGCTATATTTCTATATGAGGTCATTCCATACCTAGTAACAATAAGCCTTTGGTCTGTAGAATATAAATTTTGAGGTACGTGAATATTTCAGACCATAAAGTTCATCGTAACTAGGAAGTGTAATATCGCGCTAGCTTAGCAATTAATGAATATACCGTATAGTATCAGTAATATCTACGTATATTGATTGCTTCAAATAGAGAGCGCTATGCTCTAAGTTTCTTCGTGAAATTGAAATCTGAAACGTAGATATCCATTTATTGTCGAAGATATGGTTAATGCGCCGTAGATTCCGTCTGCACGAATTCACATTTACTTTTGCGTTTAGATATTTAAAAATATGTTATGATTATAGCAACTTGTGTATGTATATACATGTATATGTTATACATATTATATAATACTTCTTTAGCTCCATCTATATACATATATATATATATATATATCCCCTCGTCTGTCCAAACGCCATAATATGGCGTCGAGTGATAGCAAACTATTTGTAACATATATATGACATATATATAAAATATATACATATATATATATCTGTTATGCATAATCTGATAGCTTATTTAATAATTAAATTAGATGTTGACTTATAAAAGTTTCAGGAGCTTCTATGGTACATTATATGTTTTACTCAATTTTAAATATTTTGACAAAACCATTTTCAAATAATAAGTAATGTTAAATCGACTTCATAAACAACTAATTTTGTTAGAAAGCAACATTTAAATTTTATATTCGTGATAAAATGTAATAACATTTAAAAAATCTTAACAGCAAACTCTGTAATGAAGAACCATATAGCTGTGGAATTTGTTTACAAATTTAACTTCTTGTGCACTCGTCTTATCTCTCCTCATCAGTAAAATATTTTTGAACCAGTCTTTGACAATGCCGTCATTAAGCATTGGCTATACACTTAAATAAGCCATAATAAATTATTCAATTAAATTGTAATAAAATACCTAGCATCAATACGGAACTTAACTGACTTCAAGGTTAGAAGCAATAAAATTACTACGTTATACACGTGGGAAAAATCTTTAGCTGTACACTTGGTTTCCCTTTCCAAGTTTATTTTTATTACAATACCCCTTAGACAAAAGATAGTTGTGGTAGCGATTAGTATTTCTAGTTAGTTTGTGGGCAGCGATCAACACTGAAATTGCTTATTACAGTTTTAATGGTTTATTTTCGATAGAATAAAACATTCTGCAAAATTTTCAATGTTTTAAGGACGTATAAATTACAAGTTATACCAGAAAAGCGCGCTTCCTGCTATTCGTCTGGCCAATAACCCTCTCAGAAATTACAGAGCGAAAGCAATGTAAAGCAATGCCAAAAAAAAGCAAAAGTATGCCGTTATATTATTACTTGTATGGCAAAATGATAAATATTTTGATACTTCTATTAATTAAAAGTATTTTATTATATAAGTATTAATAAATGTTCATAAAATTGTACTTTTAAAATATAACGTGGTCTTTTTACTTACTATTATATTTTTTATTCTATCGAATATCTGATTATATAGAAGGTAATTGGTGATGAAACTCTAGATGGTAAATAATAATAATATTACAGTAATAATAACAAGCCAGCCGAGCGCAAGGAGCTGCAAGATCAGATAGCAGACCCCCGCATCCATCATCCCCACCAGATGGATCGATCGATGCATGAAGCGGCATCTGCCAATGGTGGAGTGCGCCGCATGCGTTAGACAAAAAATATGAACGCAAACGCATTGCGGGCGGGATAGCGTATCGGGCTCGGATGCATTGCTTTTTTACCGAGCTGGAGCCGCCTATTCCCGTCACGGAACAAATCCTGGTACACCAAGTTCGATACATCATGCTCGAAAATATTTGATGATGCCGAGCTCGAAAGACTACGACGTGAGGCCATTCCCTCATTGAATGAATCGGCTATGGCTAGGGATGCGGCTCTTCAGGTGACAGACCAGCATCCACACATGGAAGCCATCATGGATCTTCCAGTTTTGGTTGATTCGGACGATGATGAAATGGTCTCCCATGAACTAGAGCAAATGAGAAGCATATTGGAAGAGGCGATTTTGGAAACGCTTAGCATGCCTTTTAAAAATCCACTGCGACTTCCCCGCATACTCCTGAGTAAGCGAAATCGGGCTATCGTGAGGGCTCTTAACCCAACGCTGGTGACCTATTTGGAAGCCAGTCTGGACTTTTACGCGACGGACTCAATTCTTTTTGCCGCATTGGCAATTTGTCGTATCATTGGCGCCAAACATACCATGACTGGACGCGGAAAAAAGTAGCGCCATCCAAACCTTGAGAAAAATAATCGAGGGTTGTATCGCAAAGGCAAGGGCCCTTATCGGCAGACTGACAAGCTTCAGGTCGGGTAATAGACCGAGGGTTACGCGCACTGTTAGAATGGCGTTTGCTTGGACCAATATTAGTTTGTCCCAGCCGGATATCACGCAACTAACGGAGCGCATAGAAGACCTGAAGCAAAAAATCGCTGCTTGGGGGAGGGGTATTCAACGATTTACCGAGAGGTCAAGGTGATTAAACCAGAATCATCTCTTCCAGAGTGATCAGAAAAGGCTCTATAAATCATTGGAGTGACCAGAGGTATATGGAGTGGGCCCAGGACCGAATCAGGCCGAGACTGTCGTATTTTGGCGTGGCCTGTGGTCAAAGCACGTAAACTACAACGAGGGCCCTTGGATAGAAGTTGTGGTAAGCCAGGGTGCGAGTTTTTCGTCTATGTACCCGACGGGCTGCATCATTACTGGCTGAAGGGGTTCGTAGTGTGTCAGACTGTGCTCGCCCGACAGTTTCCAGAGGCTCTCGACTAAATGTCGCTCCCAAGTCTCTTCACTACTGGGATCACTCACTTGGCTCTTTAAGACCGGGATACCACAGACTCGAGCAAATACCGCCCCATCACGTGTCTACTTACCATATATAAGACACTGACATCCATTTTGAACGCGAGAATCACTCGTCACCTGGAGTTAAATCATGTGATCATGTTAAATCATGGTTTTGGATGGTGGTCGTTGTACCAAGGAGCCACTCCTCATGGACGCGGTCATTGGCAAAGTGGTGAAACGCAACCGTCGGATCTTCTCCGCCGTCTGGATAGACTACAGAAAGGCATTCAACTCGGTGCATGCAAAGAGGGTATCGGCAATGGCAGGACCCAGCAGTACAATTCATTTTCGACCGGGAGGCCGTATGGAGAGAGAAAGAGCTCCACGGGAGATACTACAGGGCTCTATATGAGCCCTTCGTAGATACAGTCGCCTCCCTCAAATAGCTAAGTTTCGGTGACTTCTTCGGGGAAACCGAGGGTTTTGTCTGTGCAATACAGGATCAGGTTATTAAGACCAACAACTATCGGAGATACATCCTAAAGGATGGCACCGTCGACGCCTGTCAAGCTTGTCGCCATCCCGGTGATTCACTTAGGCATGGCATCTCCGGGTGTTCGGCGCTTTCTAACTCTGAGTACTTACACAGGCACAATGTAGTAGTCAGAATTCTACTCCAGGAGCTCGCTCTGAAATATGGTCTCGTGGATCGGAAATTGCCGTATTACAAGTACTTGCTGGAAGCCGTGCTCGAAAATGACCGCGCCAGGCTCTAATGGGACCGGGCCATTATCATATACAGAACTATTCTTGCAAATAAGCCTGATATTGTGCTGATGGACCGGGCAGAGTCAAGGATATTTTTGGTCGACATTACCATTTTGTATGACGAGAACCTCGTGAAAGCCGAAACAGATAGGCAAACAAAATATCTGGACCTGGCTCACGAGGTGACCGACACGTGGGGTGATCTGCCGAACGAAATTATTCCTGCAGTCATCTCTAATACTAATCGGCTAATCCCGGTCAGCCTCTCGGGTCATCTGAGGCGACTGGGACTCCGTGACGGACCGCTCCGGGCTCAAGTGCAGAAGGCGGTGCTCCTCGATACCGCCCGCATTGTCCACCGGTTTCTTTCCCTTTCCCCCTAACCCTCGGCCGTTTGGTCTCCCCTGCCGACGGCTTCCATCTGGTTGGACTTTTATTTATTTATGTCTTTTTATGTATTTATTTTATTTTATTGATATTTATGTATGTTTTTCATTTTGATTCACAATTATATATTTATGGAACCCAACCAGATGAGAAAACTATATAGATACCCCGATAATAATAAATAATTAACTAAAATTTTGAGTTGTGAGTAAAAACAACTTTGGCTGTGGGTCGCTGGTGCTTATGGTACTCATAGGCCTATGGTAACGTGATAAAACCTATTCTCTCTTAGCTTATAGATACTCAGATTGTAATCGCATGGAAAAACTGTAAAGTATTCCAATCGTTTGTGTACACACTTCAAAAGATAAAAACAACAAATGATTTATGAAAAGCTGACGCCTCTCTTTCCTTTGCACCATCGGCATTACGATCCGAACAAAATCATGCAAATTCAACGTTCACTCTCCGGAATCCTATAGAATACCGAGCGGCTGGCTACTCTGCGTCGGTTTTGGAGGCTGACGTGTTTCACATGTTGATATTGTATTGTGGTGGTGTAGAACCACCCATCCAATAGTCTGCCTTGTTTACTTTGTTTTAATCCATTTAAATAAAAATCTTTTTAAAATAAAGTTATTATTTAGTACACCCATATTACACTGTTTAATCGACGACTCCTCAAACAATGAAATCAGTTAAACAATAGCTTGACCGCAGTAGGGGAGTGTTTAGCTCGGTGCTTCGGGTCACGGATTTAAATAAGCAGTTATTTGTACGGTCTTTTAATAATAATTGTTCCGAGAGTAGATGTTTAATCGTATGCAATTTATTTAGAAACGTTTTAACTTTAAATAGCTTCGTAGTGGTAAAAATTATAATATGCTGTTGATTTATTGCCGTTTGCAATAAAATAAAAAAAATCCCCACAAACGGTTTTTTAACCATTTTCATATCTATCCAAAGTTCTTTCAATTCAAAGAGTATGGTGATTTTATTACAAGTTACCTGTTAGCGCTGAGTGTTCCGATGGGCTGTAGCATGGCGGAGCTACGCTTGCCTCGGTTGGGCTGCATGGCGGCGGTCCTTCATGACGCTGGTTGCCTTTTTTCACCATGTAACAGCGCGGCATCGCGGCCAACGCTGAAAATTGTAGGTAAGTATAAGTATTGTTATAGCATACAACATAAATACTACCACCAAAATATAAAAAAATAATAGTTTATTTGCCTTTTAATGTTAAAAAAAAGGCTAATTGATAGTACATAATACAAACTGAAATTTAATCAAAAGTCATCGAGCTCGGACATGTATATATGTAGTTTGTTGTGCAAATTTATACATTTTATTTTCTCTTACGAGCTTATAATAGTTATTTTCTTTATAGTGATAAAATCACTTTAAAATTTGAAGTATTTAATACTACGTTAAAATGCAGAGTTTCTGCGTAACTTGACTGAATGACTTACGAGGCGGAAATAAATTATTGCCCATCAGTCGATTTTTTATAAAAACTAGCTTCGCACGTGTGATTTCTGGATCTCGACAACAGCGCCACCTACTGGGCCCAAATGTGAACCATCTAGGGTTCCATTCAAAGTCACACAAAAAAATTCATCAAAATCGGTTGGATAGAAAGGCTATAACGGACATAGGTAGAAACATTTTTTGTGTTTTATATTATACAAAAACTGGCCGAGTGCGTAGCGGGCCACGCACAATGTAGCGGTAGGGTTGCATAGATGCCTGTCACAATACGTAGGTTTCCTTGATAATGAGCATAATAAGTGAGTTCGCGGTTTGACCGCTATAACGACTAAAAATGGGCCTAAATAGGATGATTGTAACTGAAAGACTTATTTTCATATCAGAGATATAGGGAATGGTATTCAAAAAAGATTTTCGATTGAAGAAAAAGAATTTCGAGTTTCAAAAAAGATTTTTAATTTTCCAATTTACATCAAATAATTCACATGCCAAATACATACAAGAATGGTCATAGTTGACTATATGGCCCCCGGCAGTACAAACCTAACCATATATATGGCCGTAAGCCACCTTCCCTTAAACCACCACTGCCCGAAATTACGCTGAGGATCGCCCGCGTAAATCAAGAGTATGACGGATGAAACTATATGAGACTATATAACAGCGCAAAATAGCAGTTTAATACTGTTGGGTTTCTTATGGTGAGTGTAGAGATCCGGAGACCCTTTTTTACTGGAAGCGCGGCATTCCATCTTAGTCCTCAGGGGCGACAACGGATCTGTGTTTTGATTCTTAATCGAGGATGAATGTAGATGTTTATGAGTTACAGCATCCACTTACCATCAGGTGGACTGATAAAGTCCACCTGATAATAAGTATACTAAAGTAATATCCCTATTATTCCTTTTTTAAACCAGTCCATAAGTGTGAAAGTTTAGCTTATCATAAATTATTTTTTATTTTGATTATTCCGTATCAGAATTATTAGAATCAAAAACAAATATATCTGTATATATCTGTAATAACTTAAAAGTAACAAAGAGGGTTTCTTTGGTATATTTTTTTTTCTCCTAAACACACAATAACTCCTAAAGGGAAATGCAAATAGAAAAACTTCTAGCAAGGTTTATAGACGTTTGTAAAACACCATGTTTTGTTAATCTAGATAGTCGAGGAAATAAATATTTTAAAAAGAAAAGCTTAAAATAATAGAGTAACTATGTCCAGTTATGATATCTATTATGAACATTTAGAGTATCGTAAAATTATTATGTTTATGAAAAGAGATTTCTTTTCTCGTATTAAGTAATTAAATTCCCATAAATCAGGCACATGGTTTATAAGCGTTTAAAAACATTATTTTCGTTGACCTAAGTGGTAATATATATAAAGTTAAATATTTTATTATACAAAATTCGATTGTAATATATTTAATTTCGAGAGTACTTGGAGATTATTATGTTTATAAAAAAAGCAATTAATTTTCCTTTTATTAATTACTAGCGTCCAATTAGTGTGGCTCGATTACGATTCAAATGCAGATGCGTTGTTACCCGTGGGGATTAGATGGAATGCACACATTCATTTCCAGTAAAAAGGGTCTCCGATTCTCTACACTCACCATAAGAAACACAGCAGCATTAAGCTACTATTTTACGCTGGTATTCTGCGAGAGCGTGGTCCTTCCGAGCCGACCCGTTCATGCTTATTTTCTAAATGGTTATTCATGTCTTAATAGCGTGTAAATAACCTCCTGAGTTCTATAAGAAGCATTTACTTTAATATTACAGACA